TCAAATATCAAGGTAATCAGGAAGAGTCCATCTAGTTTAGAAAGAGGACATTTTGCTTAACCAATTTATTAGAGTTCCTTGAACAATAATATATAATGTAGATAAAGGGGAGCTGACAGGTGGACTGTACCTGGATTTCTAATAGGCATTTGACAAGGTGCACATCAGAGGTTATTGTACAAAGTTGGAGCACATAACGTAAGAGTTAACATCCTAGCATAGATAGAAAATGGCTCTTCTTCGGAACCACAGGATATTAATCTGGGCCTCTGGATTATTAATCCAGTGACATTACCCCAATGCACTTTTCCATATGCTTCTACTTATGCAGCTTAGAATACTGTTAAACTTTGTTATTGTCAATGTCAATGTGGAAATCAGGCTATCTAATGCAGCCTGTAATCTAAACACTTCCTCAGAAGGGTAAGGAAATTTGGCATGTCCACAATGACTTACCAATTTTTCTAGATGCATAATAAAAAGCATCCTATCCAGATACATGGCAACTGCCCAAGGCCACAAGAAATTAGAGAGTTATGAATGCCACCCAGTCTATCATGCAAACCAGCCTTCCATCCATTGACTCAATCTACACTTCCCACTGCCTTGGGAAAGCAGCCAACATAATCAAAAATCCTCCCACTCCACTTATACTCTCTTCTACCTTCTTCAGTTGGGCAGAAGATACAAAAGTTTGAAAACACGTACCAACAGATTCAAGAACAGCTTGTTCCCCACTCTTGTCAGACTTACGAACAGATCTCTCACATATTAGAATTGATCTTACTCTGCACCTTCTCTCTAGCTGTAACACTACATCCTGCATTCTGTTCTATTACCCTGATGTAATCATGTTTAGTATGATTTGCCTGGGTAGCACGCAAATAAATACTTTTCACTGTATCTCAGTACATGTGACAATAATCAATTCAAATCAAATCAAATTGTTCACAGGCATGGGAAGTAGTCAACACCCCAATACAAATCCTTGTGGGAAACTAGTCACATCCTTCAAATCAGAATACCTATTATTCCCCTCGGTCTCCTGACACAAAGCTGATTTCTTGACCAGGTCAACAATTTGCTTTCAATTCTGCAAGCTTCAGGTTGTTTAACAGTCCCTTAAGAAAGATTTTAATCGATCGTCTTCTTGAAGTCTACATAAATCACATCATCAGCTCTCCACAGTCACTATTTTCACCATTTCTTCAAAAAAGAAAAGTAAATCTTGTTCACCAGGTATGACCTTTATGTTTTATATATTCTTGCTGGTTTTCATTTGATAATTGAACATTTTCAATGTTCGGTAATGGTAGTCTAAATGGCATTTAATTATCACCCTGCAGAAAACAAAGCTGCACAGGAACCTGTGAATAACTCAGATCAAGCTTGCTACCTTGTATTGTATTGCTGGCGAGGTGTCACTACATCTTACCTATTCTAGACAGAACATTCCCAAGAACTGAAAATGTTCAATTTTCATTCTACTAAGGTCAGAGGTATCAATCCCTTACTAACTGCATTATTTAAAATGCTCATTAGATGGCAGCAAAGAATTGTTCAACAGCAAGAGGGCTCTGACTTGAATTTAACTATCTCAACTTTTACAGGTAACATGCTAAACAATAAACATGATAGCTTCAAACTTTTCATTGCGAGAGAGGAGATGACCCCCTCTTGCAGGCGGTGTCCTAATTTCTAAAAAAAAAGTCAACTAATCAAAAAGATACTGATTCAAAGTCATCCAGCCCTCTTCAGTTCATCCAAAAGCATGCAACCATGCATGCTAACTCAAACCAAATCTGTTTACACATCGCCTTTGTGCCTGTGACTTTTTTTGATCATCACATCTCTATCTGTGACCATCTCGAGCCTTACAACCATCTGAGATTAAATACAGAATATTTATGGCACAGAAAAAGACCATTTGGCTCATCATGCATCAATCAAAAAAGAGCGGTCAAACTCCATCCCGTTTTCAGCTCTTTGTCTGCCCTATTTAGGTTATGACACTTTGTTTAGTGCCACCAAATTCTGTAATCTGACTGTCCTGATACATGAACCACAAATAGCTAATATGCAGGAACAGCATGTGATTCGGAAGGCAAAGGATTTTTTTTATTGCAAGGACAGTGGAACACAAAATTACGGAAGTTATAATTCAGGTGTAAAGGGCCATGATGGGATCATAAGTCAATAGTCAACAACTAGGACAAGTGCCCCTTGTATTTTTCAATAAGTGCTTTCAAGGTCTCCTCTGGAGTTATGGTAAAGCTGTAAGATTTGATACTAAAATAACAATGCCCTTGATTTTTGAATTTCAGTTATATTTCCTTTTAAGATTCACCAAGTCAAAGCTTTTTGTCTTGCATTCATTGGTTCTAGGACAAAAAAACCTTAGAAAATGAACAACAATGAGATGAGGGAGCTATTTGATTAGAGTACTTTTTTAAAATTCATTTGTGGGATGGGGCATCACTGGCTGGTACGCAATTATTGCCCATTCTTAGTTGCCCTTGAGAAGATGGTAGTGAGCTGTCTTCTTGAATCTCTGCTGTCCACCTGCTGTGGATTCACCCATAATGCCTTTAGGGAGGGAATTTGTGCATATCGGGCAGCTTTGACCTGGATGGTGTTGAGCTTCCTGAGTGTTATTGGAGCTGCACTCACCAAGCAAGTGGAACAGCATGGACGTACAGCAGGAACTGTTAAGTGTCAATCTATATTTGATATTCAATTCATATCAGGCAGGTAAACCAACTGGCAATACTCTGACCAGTCTCTGTAACCCATCCTGCATTGATAAAAGTGCAACTCATGAACATATTATAGATATTAAGACAGCAGAGTGGCACAGTGGTTGGCACTGCATCCTCACAGCAGGGATCTGGGTTCAATTCCACCCTCAAGTGACCAGCTGTGCGGAGTTTGCATGTTATCCTGCTATCTGTGTGGGCTTCTGCTGGGTGCTTCAGTTTCCTCCCATAATCCAAAGATGTGCAGGCTAGGTGGATTGGCCACAGGAAATGCAGGGTGATGGGGTAGGGGGTTGGGTCTGGGTGGGAGATTTTCAGAGGGTCAGTGCAGATCTATTAGGCTGAATGGCCTCAATATGCTCTGTAGGAATTCTATGACTCTATATTACTGATACCTAACAAAAAAAGAGGATACTGTATATGAATGTGTATAGCTTCTAGCATGTGCAAATACATCACACTGCAAGCCAAACATAATATTAAATAGTCATCCAGTGAAATTCTTATTCAATCAGAATCACTGGATTCAGCAACTTGCACAAATCAGTTATAATGGCACCACATTCATCCAAATAGATTGCTGCTAGGCCCAGCTGAGGTATACACTCTACATGCCTGGCATCATACTAGCATTAAAATTCATTCACCGTATTGCTGACTTGTGCAATAAACAACCTCTTTCTGATTTAATGACAGCATCCTGACGTAGAAATATGGAGAGACCTTGACAATAACCAGGTTTGGGCTGACAAGTAGCTAGCAACATTCACGCCACACAGATACCAAGCAATAACCATTTCCGATAGATGTGAATCTACCCATCATCACTTGACATTCAGTGGTTTTATTATCAGTGAAACTCCATTATCAACATCTGGGGGTTACCATTGACTAGAAATTGAACTGGACTAGCAATATAAATACAATGACTACAAGAGCTGGTCAGAGTTCGCAATTCTGCAGTAACTCACCTCCTGATTCCCCAAAGCCTGTACATCATCTACAAAGCAGGAATATGATAGAATATCATAGAATAAAATAGGCAGTATCTTCCAACTGCTTCCATCTAAAAAGGACAAGGGCAGCAGATATATGGGAACACCACCAATCACATGTTCCCCTGCATTCCACTCACCATCCTGAATTGGAAATATATTGCCATTCCTTCACCGTTCCTGGCTCAAAATATGGAACTCCCTCCTTTACCCAACACTACCAGCCATTTACATTGCATATGAAAATCTAGAATGTCATTGGGTGCTAAAAGTACTTACACAAGAAAATGGCTAACTTGCGTATGGCTAACTTGAGCAAATCACCACTTGTTATATATTGTATAAACTCATGAAAGGGCCTGTGGCCCCCAATCTTGGCCTCGAATGGTGCTCAGGTTAAACTGGAGGGGAAGGTGAATCAAAAATTGTGTAACAGCTTTAACAAGCCATCTCGAGCTGCTACCTTGTAGTAAACACAAGTGGCCTTTGCCACCAACAGGATGCTATCATCAAGCTGGAAAGACATTTTGCCTGTCAAATAAATGAGTAATTGGTACCAGTTTTAGTGTCAGTATGTTGCCTGACATGAAGGACGTATATTCCAACAACTGGCAGACTATAATCAAACAACAATTCTCTTTGAGGTCAACTGGCCCAGGCTTACACCAACATTGGATGTGATTCTGCCGTCAGACAACATTTACTAAATAATCTTCACCATGCTATATCAGAATTATATCAGAAAACAATTTAAGATCAATTGGTCTTGCAGTGTGAATCATTGTGTATGCTGGAAACTATATATATTCATACACAGGAACCCGCAATTTGTGGTCACAAAGCATAAGACCATACACTGCAATTACTTCAATGAGATTACCAATCCCTACTGCATTCTCCATGGCAAAGCCCTGCCAACGTCTCCCTATTTGGCCTGAGTTTAATTGTTTCTTGCATCCCAGCTCTTAAGAGTGTAAGATGAAAACTTTAGCTCTGTGTCAATTTTTTTTAGCAACGTTTAAGTTCAAACAAGCAGTATTCTTCTTTCCTTTGAAAGCCACATTTCAATAACAATTCTACAAAGAAACTGTTTTGAGATTTAAACCTAGATATCAGAGTGAAAGCGTTCCTGGGTCATTTACCTTTACTTGGCAGGAACTTGCTGTGGAGGGAGAACATAGAGTGATCAATGCTGTATAGTAAATGGCTGATATTAATACACTCAGGGAAGAATGTAAATCAAACTTTCAAATTGACTTTAAACTTCTTTAATTTATGAAATATGGTTATTATTGTTAATTTGACAATACATAGATGCCACAAAGTTAATTTAAGTACAACAACGCCTAGAGTAACAGTCAATTTTTTTTTTAAAAACTGCTCACAACACTGCATAATTTGATAAGCACTCGTTCACTTTTGTATACAATGTAAAATTCAAAGAGTCAAAAGTCAGGTTAAAAATAACAGCACCATTCAGAGTATATAGAATGATACAAGATTCATCATATCAAGGAGGCAACATGGCTAGTATTCTTCAATTAATTTTCCTAATTTTGCTTCAAATCGTCTCCTACTAGAATCTAAAATAGTAACACCATGTTTTGTAAAGTCATATCCAACCCTTTCTAGCTCTTTTATACGATTTTTCAAATTCATTGCACTGAATTCCAATATTCTTGGCTTCTTTAATAGTTGTTTAATACTAATTTGACTTTCTAACAGACAGTCGATTTTATTGGAAAGTTTTTCAAACGAAGCATAAAAGGCAGGTGGATAATCCAAAAAGAATTTCTGCACCTCCTCAGTGGTGCATCCTAATGAATATAACTGATCACTTATATTTTTGAAATTTCTTTTCATGTAGTCAGTGGAGAGGTCCAAAACTTCAGCACCTTGCCCCTGAAGAAGTTTTATAAGTTCACTGTTACTTGGTTTAAGTGCTTCTGTGAAAAAGTCTACATTGGTTTTTATCCGTTTAGTGCTTCTTATAAGTATGTAAGCATTTTTAGTCATAATCCGTTTAGCAAAAGCATCTGGATTCTCATCGCCTAAACTAACACCAAGATCTTGTAGAAGTTTTACCATCTGTTTGTTTAGTTCCAAACTATTTGAGAATGCTCGTGGAGCAGTTGTTAAAATGCGATGCAAGTCCTTTGAGGTCAAGCCAAGAGAACAAAAAAAGTTAATATTTTTTTCAAAATTTCCATTGTCACTTGAACGAAAATATGATTCCGGAGAACGCCCAATAACACTTATGACCTCAGAATCTGTCTTGAAAATGCTTCGCCATAATTGCCATCTTTCTTCAAGGTGGTGATAGGAACGTGTGATGGCTCGGGGGTACCTTGAGATAATACTGGCAATGGTCTTGCGATTGGCACCCTTGCTTTTCAAGAACTCAGCTACACCCTCTTCATTAGTGGCCACTTTTCTGAAGACTCCAGGCTGCCTCTTCTGGGCCATTTTAATATCCACACCCAAAACAGACAAATTGCTCAACAAAGCTGCATTTTCTGGCTTTTGGATTGCTTCAGTTGCATGATTGCGACTAAAAGCACAGAGTCTGAGATATGATATCTTAAACCATGCGGGTGGAAAGCAGTTTGGTAAATCAGGAAATCTTGTTCTGCACAGGTTAATGTTCATTACTTGGGATCCCATCCTGGCTGTCATATCTCCACAATAACCACAGCAGATTTACTATCTGGTTACGGTCTTTCAAACCTATAATCATAGAAAAAAGAACAAGCAATGTTACTGGTGTCAATTAAATTAAATTGTTTTAAAAATTGGGAATCCTGTAGTTATTACAGTTTTGTTAATGTTTTTAAACAAATGCCAGGAATGAGGGCCGAGAATAAAAATCAATATCTCCAAGTTTATGCTGACAAGGTAGATTATTACTGTTACAAAGTTGTGTACAGTAATCATGATTAGAAGGCAGGAAGCTAGAATTTGTTTGTAAAAAATTATAAGGGAGAAGAGTACGTGGTTCCTTTAAGAGGTAAAGTGCTTTTCTAAATTTAAAGATTTAGACAGAAAAAAAAGACTGTATGTACTGAAGATGTACAGCCAGCTCTGAAATTGAAACATGTATCAACTGGCTGTGTGATTGGAAACCTTAGGCTTGTTTTGATATTATGCCAACTAGCTGGAATCAGCCCATTAATTTAAACCAAGCACTTAGCTATTGAAAGCCAATTGAATTTAAATCTGATGGTTTTGACAACCTCGGACCAATGCTATTGTAAGAAAATTGATATGTCATCCAAGGTATATAAGGAGAGGGTTTTTGAAAATCAGGATGGGAGCGAATCTCCATCTGAGAAATAAGCATCTAGCTCTCACAAGAAATTGCTAAGCTCTCTAAGAAAGCACTGTCTATCCATAAAAGGTACCATGGCACTTTTAGCTAAGAGTCCTCACAGGAGATTTCACAGAGAAAATATTCCTAATAGCTCGATCAGCGGAACAAAGGTGTTTATGACTTGAGAACAGCAGAAGAAAGGCATGTAGTCTTTGAAAGACTAAGTTTTAATTTATCTTCTTATTACTTGGGCTTATATAAATAGGACTTATGTTTATTGGAACAGCATATCAGTAGAATTTAGATCAGTTAGGGAATAAAGTCAGAAGTGACACGACACGAGGTTATAGAGCTTGTGTGAATCCAAATAAAACTGTTGGACTATAACCTGGCGTCATGTGACTTCCAACTTTGTCCACTTCAGTCCAATACCGGCAACTCCACACCACAGTTAGGGAATAGATAGTAGTTAAGGGGGAATTGTTGGATTTGTTAATAAATCTGTTAATTTGTTCACTGTGAAAGTTAAATAAATAAATTGTTACTTGTTACTTATAAAGTGAGTATCAGGGATTTTCTTTCATTTAACCTCTACTCCTACCGTAACAGACTGGGGCCTTGTGTTTCGATTTTAGTTATCAGAGGGGTTCGTTCTCCCCTTCCTAACATTACATTATCACAGAAATATTATGTCACACAATGTGAAAGTCACTGAAAAGGTTTTGGCGCTCATCCCGAATTTCCCTTGACAAGTTTCTTGAACCACTGCAGTAAACCTGGTGTAGGAATATCTAAAAGGTGCTGTAAAGGGACTTCTAGGATGTTGATCAAGCAACAGTGAAGCAAAAAAATATCCAAGTTAAGATGCTGTGTGCCTTGGGGAACACTTGAAGCAGAACATATGTTACAGGAAGCCATTCAAATTGGGAGGAGAACAAAAAGGGATGTGATGGTAGTAGGGGATAGTATAGTGAAGGAAATAGACATCATTCTGAGTTCAGAAAGCTATGTTTCCTGCGCCGGGGTTTAGAACATCGGCTCAGGGCTGGATAGAAATATGGAGTGAGACAAGGACCAGCTTTAGTAGTCCATGCAAGTGCCAATGACATAGTAGGACAAGAAGTTTTGATTAGGCACGGAGAAGCTATGCATTAAATTAAAATATCATAACCCCAAGGTTAATAATCTCTGAATTATTTCTTCAGCCATTTACCAATTGGTGAAGGGCACATAACATTGGCAAGATAAATGGCTGAAAGACTGGCGTTGAAAATTTTGAAGGCGGTTCTAGTTAATGGAACACTAGCTTTAGTACTGGGGAAGTGGGGGCTGTACCGTTAGGACCAGTGTTCTAGCATAATTATGGAAATAGAAACAGCTTTAAACTAAACAATGGCAGTGAGGAAAAGTGCTTCAGTAGATGTAGCAAATCAAGGGGTAGAGTCAAGGAAGGACAGCAATATAGAAATATGGGAAATGAGGGTCAGAGAATAGCAGGAAAGGACAGAGAAAATAAATTTTAAGAATTCACATACAAAGTAAGCAATTTAATTGTGTATATTAAAGTAAATAAACATGACCTGATAAACATGGCTATATGATGACAAGGATTGGATCCTGAATTATTGAGGAGTACATCATTCAAGAAGAATAGAAATCTGGGCGAAGACTGAGGGTTGGACCACTATTCAAGGATAACATTGGTGCAATAGATGTGGAATCAGCTCAGTTGACTGGATGGCTGATTTGTGATGCAGTGTGACACCAACAGCCCATACTCGATTTCTGCACTGGCTGAGGTTATCATGAAAGTCCTGCCTTCTCAACCTCACCACTCGCCTGACGTGTGATGACCCTCAGGTTAAAGCCATCACCATTCGTCTCTCTCACTCTGTCTAATGAGAGAACAGCCCTGTGGCTCTTGGGAATTATGGCGACTTTACCTGGTGCAATAATTAGAGACGACATTGGTTCAGAAAATCAAGGTCTAGAATAATTTTGGGTGGAGGTGAGGTGGGTGGAGGAAAGAAATCACAAGCAAGAGTGATCTACAAGCTCCTAACAGTAAACACTACGTAAGACAAAGTAAACAACAAGAAATATTGGGTGCTTGTGATAACGGAAAGACAATAATCATAGAATCCACGCAGTGTTAAAACAGACCATTCAGCCCGTTGAGTCCACACCAAACATCCAAAGTCCACCCACCCAGACCCACTCCCCACCCTATCCCTGTAACCCTGCATTTCCCATGGCTAATCCACATAACCTGTACATCCCAGGTTGATTTTTAATCTAGCTATAAACTGGAAAAATCAGTTTGGCAATGCAAGCCTGAATGAGGAGTTCATAAAACACCTTCAAAATAATTTCTTCAAACAGCGTGTTCTGGAACCAAGTAGACACCAAGTAATATCAGACTTGATGTCGTGTGACATTGCAGAATTAGTTAATGATCTCAAAATAAAGGCACCATAGGTAGCAGCAATCAAATAGGCTTGGATTTTACATTCAGTTTGAAATGGAGAAAATTGGGTCAAAGATTAGTCATTTGAAACATAAATAAGAGAAATTAGATGGGCATAAAAGCTGAGTTAGTTGAAGTGTAATGAGATACTAGGCTAGGGGACAAATCCATAGAGAAGCAGCAGCAAACGTTTAACGGATTATTTCAGAGAATGACTAAAAGATTGGTCAGAAGAAAAAAAACAGCACGAGGAAGCCAGCTAGAAATGTAACAACAGACACCAAGAGTTTCTACAGGCACTTAAAAAGGAAAAGGGAAATTATATAATTACTGATCCTCAGCAGAGTGAGAATGGAAATTAATAGTTGATAATAAGGAATGGTAGATAAAATTAACAAACATTTTGTTTCTGTCTTAAACATGAAGGATACAAAAGAATCTAACTAGAGCTGTACATCAGAAGGTTGAAGGATCAGGAATTTTAGGAAAGTGGCACTGGGCAAGCTGTTAAAGCTATGTTCCTGGCTCTTACAATGAGGTGGCTAATGACGTAATAGAAGCATTGGTGTTATTTTTCCAAAATTCCCGAGATACTGGTAAGGTTCCTCCAATTGAAAAGTATCAAATGTAATCCCTCTATCCTAAAAGGAAGGGAGGCAGAAAATAGGAAACCATAAGTCAGTTAGCTTGAATTATCATAGGAAGGGTGTTAAAGTTGATCCTTAAGGTGGTTCATTATAGGTGGGTACTTAGAAAATTTCACGGTAACAGGGAAGAGACAGTGTGATTGTGTGAAAAGGAAATCATCTTTAACCAATTTATTAGAGTACTTTTAAAGAGTAACAAGTGCTGTGGATGAAGCAGGGTCTGCAGATGTACTGCACCTGGATTTCCAGAGGTATTTGACAAGGTGCAACAAAAGAATGTTATTGCACGAGTTATAAGCCCATGGTATGGGGGCTTATATATTAGCATGGATAGGAAATTGGCTGACTGACTGTCTTGTAATTTGCAGGATGTAATGAGAGCAAAAGACCATAAGATACAGGAGCAGAATTAGGCCATTTGGTCATGGCTGATGTGTTTCTCAACTCCATTCTCCTGCTTTCTCCCCGTAAACCTTGATCCCCTCACTCATCAAGAATGAGTACCACAGGGGCCTGAACAGGTCCCTCAGCATTTTACAATTTACATCAAAGACTTAGATAAGGGAAGCAAAGGCATGGTAGCTAAATTTGCAGATGACTCAAAGATAGGTAGGAAACTATGTTGTGACGAGTATAGAAGGAAAATGCAAAAGAGCTGAGCGAGTGACCAAAAAATCTGGCAGATGAACTATAGTGTGGGAAAATGTGTGGTTGCTCACTTCAGCAGAAGGAATATAAAAATAGAGTATAACTTAAATGAAGAACTACTGTAGGATGCAGAGGATCTAGGTTTTTGAGAGCACAAGTCTTAAAAGATTAGTATTCAGGTACAAGTAATTAAAGAGGCTAACAAAGGACGGCATTACTGCACATGCTGGAATCTGTACTGAAAACTGAAATGCTGGAGATCACAGCAGGTCAGACAGCATCCATAGACTTAGAGCAAGCTAACGTTTTGAGTGCACGTGACTCTTCATCAGAGCTGAAGTGATATAGTTTGGGTGGGGTGGGGTGGGGTGGGGGAATGTGGGGGTAGTGCATGTAGGGTGCTGGCAGAAAAAAGTGTTGATAGTTCAGATTAAATGGTTGGAATGTGAGAATGACAGAACAATGGTGTGTCTTCTGCAGACTTGAAATGACAGTAAATGTCCCAGTTTGTGTTAAAGTTAGTGACCATATTCATAAAAATAGGGGTTGGTTAGTTCAGGTGAGTGGGTGGCTGGTTTGTGATGCAGAGTTACCACAACAGGGTGGGTTTATAAAAAGACAGAAGGTCACATTTGCAGGTGCAACAGATGCCAAATTCTGGAACAATTTCCTTACTATTGACCCAAATGCAAGCGGCCAGAAAACAACTTTATGGGTCAAAAATGTGAACTAGAACAAAAAATTGCTGTGGTGGCAGGATCAGTTAGTCACCATCACTAGAATTTCAGGGTGGAAAGGGTGACTCTTCTGCAAAATTAGCAGATAACCTATCACCTTCACTGAGAAACCAGTTAGGCATGTGAAAACAGAATAAACTCGCAGGCCGCCCAATGCAAAAAGTGGAGAAAAAACAATGACTATTCACCACACTAAATAGATGACAAACTTTGCAAATCCACCTTGAATTTTCCCATCTAATTTCTGTTCCATCTCGGCTACTTTTAATGTATTTCTTTCAACGGGACTCCTTTTCCCTCACTCTCTGTAATGCCTTTCGTACTGCATCCGTACTGCAGTCAAAGCTCCTTGAAAACGTTGAAACTGGAAACGAAACCATGGGCAAAGGGCTTGCCGGAAAATCAAAAATAGGCAATTAACACAATTTTGTTTTAGATTGCACGCACAACTCACCGGTACACAAGGACACATTAATACCCTGACCGTAACTGAGACTCAATAGAGAATTCAGCGATTTCCCAGACTACTCAGCAGCGAACATGTCCATTTCTGCGCACAAGCCCAGCTCATACAAACTGAGCTGGAGGCTGTCTCTCCATGACACACTTCCTTCTCAAAGCTACGCCAATAGCTGCTTAGAAAGATCACAGCCTTTCGCATAGCCTACTGTGAACGCTGCTTTTCCGAGGAGAGGACACCAATGTTTTTTTGGTCGTTGCTTAAATTACAAAACCAAGAATGTCAGAAATAAAGAACATTAATACTGAGAAAACAGCACGTCAGCATTTTAATAGAACAAAACAATTCTAGGGTATAAAACAGAAATCTCTGAAAAAGCTTAGCGGGTCTGACAGCTTCTCTGGAGAGAAAGGTCCACTGATGCTTCCTCAGAACTGATGGTAGCTAGGGAAATGTCAGTTTTTATGCAGGTGTTAGAGTGGGGGTAAGGAGTAAACCATGGGCGGGGATAGAACCCAAAGAGAGAGAAGGAACAGTCGGACAAAGGAGTGGATAATGATCTGGCTAGGAGGGAAAATAGCTGTTGATGGAGATTGTTAATGGCTGACAACGGTTGTGTGTAATAGCAGACTACGAGTTTCACCTGCATCTCCTTCTGAAGAAGGGTCCCGACCCAAAACGTCAGCTTTTGTGCTTCTCTGATGCTGCCTGGCCTGCTCCACACCTTGTTACCCCAGACTCCAGCATCGGCAGTTCCTACTATCTCCTCCAACCTAGTCTATTGCATCCGGTGCTCCTGATGCGGTCTTCTCCACATCGGTGAGACCAAACGTAGACTAGGTGACCGTTTCGCCAAGCATTTCCACTTGGCCTGTAACAGCCAGCCTAACCTCCTGGTCGCTGCCCATTTCAACACCCCTCTGACATGTCCATCCTTGGCCTCCTCCAGTGTCACAGTGAATCAGATAACAAATTTGATCAATTTTATCTTCCGCCTGGGCACCCTACAGTTCAGAGGACTTAACATTGAGTTCTCTAATTTCAAATAACCTTCCCACCCATCCCCCGCTCCCTTTCCAGCCCCACCTCCTCACTGCCATTCCACCTTCCGACCCTCCCTTACAGCTACCAACCGGATTCATCCCTCCCATTGATGAACCAGGTTGTACCTAGTACCAGTGTCCACCTATCACCATCATTCTGCGACCTTCCCCCTCACTTTTTCTTTATCTGCAGCTCCCCCTACACCCACATCCAGTCCTGACAAAGGGTAATACCTGAAACATTGACTTCTCCTTTCCTCCAGAGGTTGCCTAGCTTGCTGTGTTCTTCCAGACTCCTGTCTGTCTACCTATGTGATCACAGGGCCTGGTATGTGGGGCTGTGGGTTGGGACATAGGAAAGTTCAAGCCCTAAAATTATTGAACTTGATATTGAGTCCTGCAGGCTGCAGGATCCCCAAGCAGAAAATGAGATGTTGTTCTTCCAGCTTATGCTGAGCTGCACTGGAGCACTGCAGCAAGCCTGAGACAGAGATATTGGCCAGGGAACAGGGTGGTGTGTTGAAGTTTCGGGCCGAAACCGTTCGTTGGCTAACCTGCTCCTTGGATGCTGTCTGACCTGCTGTGCTTTTCCAGCCTCACACCTATAGACCCTTCAGCAATTGCAAGGGAAGGGGCTGTGGGGGGTGTTGTGAGTGAAGTAAGAGTGGAACAGGGTGACCCGGAGGTAACGTCCCTGCGGAAGGCAGACAAGGGAGGGGAGGGGAATATGTCTGGTGGTGGTATCACACTGGAGGTGGCAGAAATGGCAGCTGATGATTTTCTGGATGTGGGTGTTAGTGAGATGGCAGTTAAGGACAAGGGGAACCGTATTTCTGTTGCGGGAGGGAAGAGAGGGGATGAGGGCCGAAGTGCAGGAGATGGGTCAGACCCAGTTGAGGGCCCTGTCAACAACAGTGCTGGGGAATGCTCAGTTGAGGAAGAAGGTGGACATTTTGAAGCCTCCTGTACTTCGGCCCTCACCCCTTCTTTTCTGTCCCACAACAACAACAGGGTTTCCATCACACTTGTGACTGTGTCTGGTAGGTGGTAGATAGGCTTCAGGAGATTAGTGAGTAACTCATTACAGAACTCTTTGTCATTTGTATAAATGATTTGGATATGAATATAAGAGGTATAGTTAGTAAGTGGCAGCACCTCACATTTATCAAAATTAAACTCCATTTGCCACTCCTCGGCTCATTAGCTCATTGATCAAAGTCCCATTGAGGTAGCCTTCTTCTCTGTCCACTACACCACCAATTTTGGTGTCATCTAACAGACTCAATCACAAGTGTGATGGAATACTCTCTACTTACTTGGATGAATGCACCAACAGGCATTTAGACAGAAGCATGAACAGGCAGAAAATAGAGGGATATAGACCATGTGCAGGCAGATGGGATTAGTTTCAAATAGCATCATTGTTGGGACAGACATGGTGGGTGGAAGGCTTGTTCCTGTGCTGTACTATTCTAACACACTGTGACAGAATGTGCACCATCTGCACAATGCAACCACTGCAATTAGTTGAGAGTAGGCACACCCAAAATGCTGTTTGTGAGAATTCCACAATTTTGACTCAGAGACTAGCATGGTGAAAATAACTGAATGAGTGTTGATATAGTTCCAGGTCAGGATGGTGTGTGGATTGCAGATGAACATGCAGGTGGTGTTGCATCTGCGACCCTTGTACTTCCAGGTGGTAGAGAAGGTGGATTTGGAAGATGCTGTCAAAGGACCTAGGTGCAGTACATCTGGTAGATGACAAATACGCCAGCCATTGCTCATCAGTGGTGAAGGGAGTAAATGACGAAAGTGTCACATTAAGCACCGATCAAGCAGACAACTTTGTCGCGACGGGGGGCGGGGATCCGGCTCTGATCTCGCGGGAGGGGGCGGGGTCCAAGCTCCGTCCCCGCGGGAGGGGGAAGGGTCTTGACGCGACCCTGACATCAGGGGATGGAGTCTACCGTCCAGATCTCGCGGGAGTGGGCGGTGTCCAGGCTCCGACGTCGCGGACGGGGGCGGGGTCTTGGCTCAGATGTCGCGGGGGGGGGCGGGGTCTTGGCTCCGAGGTCGCGGGGGGGGGGGGGGGGGCTGCTCGGATGGGGGGGGGGGGGGAGGGAAGACAACAAGCAGCACGTGAGTTTACTGGTTGCTGTGGTAACCAGCCCTGGTCCTTCATTGACCCGGCCGCGAGCAGGAATGAGCAGCAGATGCTCCCTCTCTGGTAACTCAGACCTTTTGGTTCTCGTTGCCCTACAGGCGTTCTTGTACATCGAGCGAGAGAGCAGATCTTGGGTTTTGATTTGCTCCAGTTTTCTGTTAAATGTTCTGACTCCGCAACTGCAGTATTCTCTGGCCGTAATATTAATGGACAGTCAGAGGGATTTTGAAGGAACTCGCCTGACGTCGCCACGTTTAAAACCTGGATGTCACTCAGCTGTTATATGCATTTCTAATGGGAAATTCAGATTCAGCATTTAGGAAAGGGAAGGTGGTGTTGGGTCCAACGGCGGAAGGAGATTAAGGTCTTGTTGAGAGGATTGGTGTCACTTATACATTCGGGAGGGCAGCGGGTCTGTTGGGTCTGGCAGTGGCGATGGTTGGTGCTAATGGAGGGAACGGGACCATCAGTAGCAGGGTGCCTCGAGGATTGACTTTTTCATAGAATCCCTACAATGTGGAAACCAGCCATTTCGCCCAACAAGTCCGCACCAACTCTGCCAAGAGCATCCACCCAGATTCCCTACCCCATCCCTGTAACCCTGCATTTCACATGGCCTGTCTACCTAACCTGCACATCTTTTTTTGGACTGTGGGAAAAAATTGGAGCACCCAGACAAAACCCATGCAGACACAAGGAAAACATGCAAACCCCACATGGGACCCTGATGCTATAAAGCGGTAGTGCCTAACACTGAGCCATCATGCCACCCGTATTTGTCAGCTCCTGCAAAAGGGTGTGGGTGTAGGCTCTGGTGTTGCCATGTGATGGGTGTCGGGTCTGGTAGGGACTGTATGGTGTATTGTCCAGAGGGTTCAGTCTAGCAGCATGACCTGTGGTTCCAGGGGTTTGTGTTTGAGGCGTGAGGGTTGGGTGGAATGGAGAAGGTGTTATCAGGACCCTGTTAGGTGTAAGAAGTTTGTGCAGGAGTTAGCCTAAAATTTTAATCCTCAATTTCCTTTTGGATTGTTGCATTTATGGATTCGTGCTTCAGTGCCCAAAGGATACTTGTTAATTATTGTTTGGTTTTTCTTCTTCGTTTGACAAAATAGACCTACTGCTCAAAGGGATATCAGCTCTCCATTGCAGTATGTATTTCCACTAAAATGGAAGGTTGCCCAGTGTCAACAATCAAAATAAATGTAATCGTAACAAAAATCCTAATAACGCCCAAGCCATAAATTAAACAAACGAAATTTGATACATTAAAAATTAATGTTACGAACCGTGTTGACGATATTCTCCAATGCCCACCAGTTATAGAGACTAAGTAAGTGTCTAAGCGCTGTCTGACTGAAAGAAAAGTCAAATGCTAAGTTATTAAATACATCACACAAGTTTGACAGCAATCTTAGAATGGAGCCAATGTTGAACAAAGCTTTTGAAACTATGCTGCAGTTTTATTTGGATTGTAGTTTTTTATTTCACATTTAAATTAAACCAAATGTAATATTCTTGCATGTGCATTAGTGAATGACTTTATTTCTATTTTCAGTGTTGTCCAATGATAAAGAAAGGAAGTCAATGCTGTCTCAACAAATTTGTCATGAATTTATATAAACATTAGTGAAGAGAAAATGGGTGAGAAACGTAGTGCCGTGCTTTTGACAACAGAGACTTCAGAAGAAACCTTAGACACTGCCTTTCTAGAATATGCTACAAATTTAATACTTTCAGAGAGTGATGATTCGGAAATTGATGCCGATATGGTGGCTAAGCTTACAATGTTCTCACTTAAAAGAAAGAATTTAACCTCAATTCCGTCAAAACTTTATCTGTTTACAAAACTGAATGTTTTGAATATCAGCGAAAACAGCATCACATCTATTCCAGGTGAAATTGCCGTGTTCGGCCAGCTGAGCCAACTTTTTCTTAATAAAAATAATATCTCACAGCTACCTGCTGAAAT